TATTTAAATTTTAATTGTTAAGTTTAAAAATTTAAAAACTCATGATTAAATTGAATATAACAAAAAAATTCGATTCAAATTCTTTTTATATAAAATTTTAATACTTTTTAATTTTTTTAAAGTTTTCTAATCATTTTTCCTCAAATTATTTATTTATTTGAGTAGTTTTTAATTTTTTAATAATTGAAATTAAATAAAATAATAATTAAAAGTTTTTTTTAAATCATTAAAAATATAAAATTATTTTCAATTAAAATCAAAACTAATCTAAATTATTATTAGAAAAAAAACACAACCAAAACCGATAATACTTATTCCATTCAGCTTAGTTATTGATTATAAAATTTATTAACTAAAGATTCAATTAATCAAAATTTCCATTAGAGTATAACTATCGTCATTTCGAACCCGTCTCCTTGCAAATTTGTTAAAAAAAAAAGCCTGGCTATGCCCGAACTTAGCCTATAGAATGGATGGAACCAGTATTGCTTGTCACCCATTGACCTATAGAATGGCTGAAACCAGTATTGTTTTCCACCCACTCAACTAAAGTTTGAGTACTCTTAACTCCATTTTCCTCCCTTATTCTCCAAAAACTGCAGTAGTTCTAACAAAAAAGAAAAAAAAAAAAAAAAGCAGCCATGCCTACCCATGGGAGAGAGAGCGGGCGTGGGGATGGGATCAAAACCCGAACCTTAGGGAGGTAGACCTCCCTGGGCCCCGGCGCCTACCAGTTGGTGTGTTAAAAAAGGTCATAATACATTATAAAGTTAAGATTAAAATATTTCCATATGTATAACATTACAAGTCAGTCAAAAATTATATAATTACAATGCTACGTGAGCAAATCAAATCCTTCAACAAAATTACAAACCAAGAAAAAATACATATTACTGCGGGCTCAAAAAAGAGAAAAAACAATATCAAGTTGATTAGACCCGCACTGCCCTGAGACCTAGTATTACCAACTACTTCTATAAATTATTTAATTAAATAAAAATTAAGAATTATCTCAACGTTTAGAGAGAGACTTAAGCTTATCGCAAATTTTGTTGTGAGAGAATCACCATAGAAATTCCTTTTTTTCATGAATCCAATTACTGATTTAGAAACATTAAAGAATAATAAAACAAGAACAAATTATGAATATGGTTGGAAAGGCAACAAGAATAGGGAAAGGATTGAAAATGCTTCAAATTAAGTAAACTGCCCGATTAAATTGTAAAAATCCTAACAGAAATGTTAAAAAAAAAAAAAAAGAATTAAGGAAAACCTATATATATAAATACAAGAGAGTTGGGAGAGTTGGGACCTGCAATGGAATTCCATGAGGAGGTCTCTCATCATTTTTCTTGGCCACTTTTTGTAGTGGCAACCATGAATGAACTGAAAAAGGAATATGGCAGGCTATACACAAGGTAACTCCTCCTCTTACATGAAGTAGCTCAGAGATTTCTTCTTTCTTGATCCACCTTCTCCATATAGTTCATTCCATTGGAGAAGCTCATTCATATTTGCAGACTCCGACGACACACTTGCACATACCTATCATAATGCAAATTTGAAATCAACAATAGATTCATGGAACAGGCATTTTCAAAGAATCCATTATCAAAATAGATAAGGACATTGCATTTACTACCTGCTCGTGTGCAAATCTAAAATCATCCATCTTTAGAGGACGAACATCGGAACTGCTATGTAAGGAAGGCAAAGATCTATTCTCAGCTAATGCTGATGCTTTCTCCTGAAAGTTCAAATTAGATCAGTATATTCTTCAAATCATTCATCAAAATTTCCCAACAGGAATAGAAGATAAATGCATATAAAAGTCTATTGAATTAAGTTATAAAGGACCAAACCTTCTTTTCCTTCTCCAAAATTTCTCTTATCGGACAATAAGCAGCAGTAACACACAGATTCTGCAACAAAAACATTGTTAGGGAGAGTAGAAAAAGGACATTAAATTCAAATCTGTTCCATATGCTGTGGAGTGCTGACTGGGTTCTTAGGTTTAAAAACACCATTTAACATTTTCTAACAAGATAGTGAAAACAGAGGAAAAGGATGGAAAAGCTAACCTTTAGATCACTACCCGAGTACCCATCAGTCATATTTGCAACAGCTTCCAAATCAGCATCAGGAGACAGTTCCTCTTTAGACAGGATAACTCTCAGAATCTTCTCTCTGTTTGGAGCATCTGGCAAATTAACCATCAATCTGCATACCACTCAAACAGAATGTCAATGGTGCTTGTATATATTACAGCAGGTGGATCAATAAAAACCCCCCCAAAGAAATAAATAAATAACAAGATTCACCTTCGAGGAAGCCTCCTGATAACTGCCTCATCAAGGTCAAAAGGCCGATTTGTAGCAGCAAGAACCAGCACTCGTTCCTTGTCCTTTGTTCGTAGACCATCCCAATTCACCATAAATTCATTCTTCATTTTACGCATGGCCTCATGTTCACCAGGATTTTCCCGTCGTCCTAACATGCTATCAACCTAACACAACCAACCAAAATTAACGAAATCACATCTCCTACTTAAGAAAAGATGAAAATAATGAGGAAAAAAAGCTAAGAATCAGAAAATAATGAACTAAAGTAACATGTATAAATTATGAAATACAAGAGTCCATATATGACTTGAACAAACCTACCTCATCAACAAAAACAACACTTGGCGCAATTTTACTGGCCAAAGAGAAAACAGCTTTGACATACTTCTCTCCTTCACCAAACCACTGAAAGCAAATGCAGTGATGTTAAATATTTCCATAAAAAAGGATCTAGTTTAGATGATGATCATGCCATGCCCCAATCCTAAAAGCTGGTCAGCTTAAGTTTTACATTCAACTCAGGCCTGCAGTTCCCTAATGGATGGATAAGTAGTCCAAAGCAACAGTGTGTAAGCAGTTAAATACCTTTGAAGTGATGCTGGACATAGATATGTTAATGAAGTTTGCACCAGCCTCAGTTGCAACAGCCTTGGCTAGCATTGTTTTTCCAGTACCGGGGGGGCCAAAGAGTAATATTCCTTTGCAGGGCTGCAGAGTGGAATATGATGAAAAACACAGAAAGATAAAAAAGAAAATGAAATTACCCAGATAATTCACAAGCCAAAACACAACACACAGAAAACTACACACTAAAGATATTATCTACTGTATTTAACCTTTGTTAACTGTCCTTTGCAGAATAATTCAGGCCTCTGAAGAGGAAGCATCACTAATTCCTTCAAGGTATCTTTCACATTTTCTAAGGCTCCAATATCATCGAAACTGACTCCAATATCACTTGGTGGTATAACATCAGCAAGAAGTTTCTTCTCAAACTCATTCTCAGTGATCACATCCTGAAAATACTCAAAAGTCAATGCAACTCAAAATCTCATGATAATACCAAAGTTAAATTCTATTTGAGAGCATGGTAAGAAAAGGTAAGAAAATTAATGATCACAATTTACACAGTAGGAGGCAATTACACAAACAAGAGAATAGTTAACTTTACCTTCAGTGATTTCTTCAAGCTCTTGGTTTCACTTTGCATGCCTTGCAAAATGTTCAGCCCATACTTAATGCTGCAAGAAAAAGAATCAAGGAAATTACACAGAGGCCAATCACATCAGCAATGCAAATGACACTGCATCAAAAATTTATATGACCTTTCAGTAGAAATAACAAGTTTAGCATCTTTCAACGGTTCTGAAGAATGCATGAAGTGGTGACTTAGTGCCCATCCAACTACTTTCTCCACATCTATTACAACATAAAGTATGGAATCAGATGATGTTAAGGTAAAACTAGAAAAGAAAACACAATAGATTGAGAATACTAACTCTCAGCAGTAAGAGTTTGATCTTTCAAACACAAAGCTTCAAGGTCAGGGCAGTCCAGACCATTTCTGTTGAGAACCTGAAGCCATAAAAAGATCACACATAAAAACTCTGGGAATGGCTTAAGAAATACATCAAAATAAAAGGCTTGCAGCTTTTTTAAACAGATCAACACAAGAAATGACCACCTTCATGAGCCCACCTCAACTATGAAAGAAATGCATCCTTTTTCTTTCTTTCAAACATCTGACAAAAAACCAATTGATGATGGGTGGAGTAGTCCACTTTGTTTCTAAAGTCCACAGGTTTCCCTTAACAATGTGGAATTTAGGATTTTCCTACTTAACCCCCTCCCCCTCTACCCAATGCAAGCCCACCGTGGGTTGTGCACAACTAGGCCTGCAACACTAAACGGGTAACAGTCCCTAGGCTCTAATACCATGCAAACATCAACCTAAACCAATTAGCAATAGGTGGAGTAGTACACATGTTTCCCCTTAACTAATAGATGAGAGATTTAGCCACTAAACACTTTTTTTTTAATCTTCATCCCCTATTCCTGCTTATCCTCCTCATTAATAGTTCAACTACCAACCAATAACAAGCAAAAGATATAGATACAATTCTTTTTCCATTCTCTCACATAGATACAATTCTTTTTCCATTCTCTCACATCATATCCACTCAATTATCCTAATCTAACATTAAGGTTTTTGCTAGATCAGTTAGGTAAGCGAACATGCTGTAATGTACTCACTGAGCGAATGCTGACAACGTTTGATTGTGCTTTAAGTGTTTCCATATCACGCTCCAAATGCTGTTTCCAGTCCGAAAGTAAAACTTCGTCCTGATGGGTCAAAAATGTTACATGAGACGCTCAGAAAAGCCTAAGAGAAGAACTACATCAGAAATTGAACAAAACCCACCTGAGGCAACTGTATTGCTACTTTGTTGGGGAAAAGACGAGTAATTTGTTTCATTGTTTTGGGCATTTCTTTGCTCCTATCATGCAGTCTACCAAAATTATCCTACATAAAAAAGGGAAAATATTCATGTCATGCTCAGCATTTCAAATAAAATATAGTGCCATGTGCAGATTAAACTCAAATCCAAAACGTAGCAAATTCAAAGCAGTTTATATTAACAAGAAAAAAAATAAAAAACCTCCAGAACCTTACAAGTAGAAAAAAATATTTGAGGAAAAAAAAGCTGTTGTTGGCATACCGGAAAAGAAAGATCAAGTAAAGCAGTCTGGTTGGCTCCAAACTTCGTAAACAAAAGACCACCAGGATGTGACTGCATAGAGTAACAAAAAAAATAAAAAAACAGTTTACGCAATTCATCTAGCTAAAAGAAAAAATATATATATATTAGAGTGCTTACCTTTTCTTTACGATTATCCATCTGAGTATGGGAGCCGATTACAACAATATTTGTAGGCAAATTATCAATCTTACTCTTTAAGGCAATATACACATCATGACTTCCCAGCATACATTTCTCTATGTCTTTTAGAAACAATATTAAGGGACTGTTTTTACTTTCATTCAATGCAACCTATAAATACAAGAGAGCCAGAGCTTAATACTTGAAAATGACCTGAAAATGTGAGGAAAGCAAGAGGACTGAACTTTCATCCACCAGTTATAAGTGAACATACCTCAAAGAGTTCATTAACAACAATCTTGTCAAAGTCATCGCTTCCAGAACTATCCAAGCAAAGAGAACTAGCTATATCAATTGAAAAAGAAGTAATAGGTAAAATTAGACAAACAAAACACAACAAATGATAAAACAACTAGCATATCAATAGCACAAGTATAACAAAAAATTCACCAGGACAATAGAACCCACGATCATCTTCACAATGGCCACCAAGGTTACAGCCTTCAGGTATAGATCTATCAAATCTAACCCCGACTTTTGAGGAATCGTTTTCTTCAAAAGTAACTACTTTGCCCCTAAACCCAATATTTGGTCCCCTACTTCCAGGACAGAAAATTATACAAGTTAACTAATTGAAAACAATGCTAAGAATTGTCATAATCACCATCTCCACAGTGAAAGCAACATTCCAAAACCATTTACATGCAAGCATCTCAAACAATTTCAGAATCAAAGGTTGCCAGCAAACTGGCACAATCATGACATGTAGCATAGGGGTGAAAAAGCTTTCCCAGTATAAATTAAGTAAAAAAATAAGTTGAGGTATATAATTAAAATTAAAACAAATTTATAATTACATATATAATCAAATGCAAGCGAATACCTCATTGGTTGAAAAGAGGGGAGTCCAGAGGTAGAGGGACCAATAAACTTGACTCTATCACCTGAAGTTTTAATGTAAACAAGTCAACAAAAGAGAGATGTACGGATAAATAAACTATTAAGGAACCATTACACCACTAACACCAATAATGCCAATTATCTACTAAGAAACTTGGAAGATATTGCTAGCAAATTGCATGCCTTTTTTGAAAGTTTGGTTCTTTGATGTTGCTGTAGATGCTTCCTGCTTTGGAAGGGGTTGGGAACTCAGTGTAGAACCACCCCTTATATCCCCCTCAACACTGGAAGTTGGTTTCTTGTGCTGTAATGCAGCAGTTTGTGCTAAACGCTTGGCATACACAGAAGCTCTCTCAGGCCTTGCAGATTCTTTCAGAGGATCAGCATCTTTTGTGGTTGATCCCTAAATTTATTTCAAAGAGAACAATTGAGAACAAGATGTCACAAAAATGTCAGACGATTGAAAATTCATCCATGATACTGAAGCATAAAAAATAATAAAGCACAAAAGTAATAATATAAGATTCAAGAAAGACATAAGTTTGGTGGGTCTCTGGCCCAGCCGTTTCAGAATTTTGGTTTTCAAATGGAATTTACTAATTTATTTATTAGCTTGGACATTGCCTAAAAGAAAAAACTATTAGCTCAGACAACAGAGTAAACAAATTTCAAGTTAGAGGAAAAAAGAATAACTATGCCATGAATTTCCATGAATTTCCCTAAACAGAGAGCAAATGTAAATTTGCCTTACATCAAAAACAATGAAATCTATAAAATAATGTGGGAAATGAGCAAACTGCTAATGCAACCATCATCTGCATAAAACAAAATTAACAGATTTATGTTAGAACAATCCAACCAAGTTTCAAAGAACCTTACTCCAGGCAATAGAAGAGATTCAACAATCAGCAATCTAGCACCAAAATATTTGGCAAGTGCCCTTGCCAATGTCTCCTGATATATTTCTGACCCTATTAAATATTCAACAGAAAATGAAGTTACATTCGGAACCAGAAACTGCTAGGAAGGAAAAAAATGAAACATAAATTGGCATAATAGATTAGCAGAAAAGGCCAGACAAACCTGCAGGACCAGAAAGTAATATGCGAGGGGACATCGTAGGAAGATTTGATGCATACTTTGCAAATTTATTACACTTCAAATGCACATAAGTGGAAGATATCAAAACATTCTTTGTTGTCTCACTGTTAGAGCCAAAATTTCAAGTAAGAAATGTATCCAAAGCTCCAATCACACCAAATGCAGTGATACAAAAATAAACTAGGTCCATCAAGGACTGAGGACATAAGAAGAATACTGTGGTTGCAAAATACTTTCCACATGAAAACCAAGACTGAGCACATACAAAAATTGGCCTCTAAATAAATAGGATTAGTTAGAAAATGGAACAAGAAAATGAAATTTCAATCCAAGAGCTAGTTAAAAATTGAAGGCAATATAATCACCTTAAGTAATATGGGAAATTTTCAAATGAGACTTCTATATTTTCGGGATTGAGAATTCCTTCTTGTAAACTATCTTTATATGCTTGCTTCCTGGTTGATGTCAAAGCTGTTGGACGTTCAAAATCCCTAAGGAGTCCTGCCCTTGGGTCATCAAGAATTTTAGCAATGCCACCTAAATCAAAATCAGAAGAAGATGAACCTGCAAGAATCTGCAAGAGCGGCTTTAATTGGTATGCGGCACCAGGAAGCTTCCCATTTTCAGCATCCATGCTATCATCCAATCCAAGCCCGTCATGGTTTTGGTTTTCATTGGCAGCGTCAGATGGTGGGGCAATGGTGTTCTCCCTTGAAGAAGCACCAGATGCGTCATTGTTACTGACACTATCCTTCATATCAACTTCTGGAATACAATCATCTGAAACATCACATCCAGAAGGTATAGTGGGCACATCTGGATTCTCCTTGATTGATGCTAAAATTGTTGCTCCTGCAACAGCAGATGGGTCCCCTGATCTTGCTTCAATAATCCCTTTCATTGGATCAGTCTGGGCTTCTAAAACACTTACTGAAGAAGGCATGCTGGGACCACCTAATTTATTGTTGGTGAGCTCCATGAAAATCTTTGTTCTTGTTAAGGAAATAAAAGAAGTTATATGTACCTTCTTTTGACACCTTAGCTTACTGTTTATTTCTAGTATTCAAATGCCTTAAAAGACACTTCCAAAAGAGAGAACGTGACAGCCACATTAAAGATGACTCACCTTAGTGGCTACTGCCCAGGTAAGCACCTTAACTAGGACAATCCAAGTTATATAAAGTGACAAGCACAATAAATTACTGCATAAATATTTGTTTGAGTAAAATGGGAAACTCAAAAGACACTGTATTAAAGATGTTAAAATGGATACATAAGCATAATCGCTGGTACTGCTGAAAACCAAGTGATCTCCTCCACTTAGAAGTATACTACTATTTTTACGGAAAATCTTTCCATTCACCTGCACAGAACCCTTGCCGCCAATGATATCCAGTACAGCTACAGATGAACCATCACGCTACATGGAGAATATGAAAAATCAGCACCACCAATAGTGATGCAGTTAAATGAATCATGAGCAAATGGCTTTGTGGTCCAAAATTTTGCAAAGAGGATACCTCAATGTGCTTCACTTTACACAAAATATTGCTGATACTTGGATCTTTAAGCCATAAATCACACTGACGGTTATTACCAACAGTGAAAGTGTTCGCAAACATATTCAAGTGAAGATTCTGAAATGAGTGAATTTGAAAGAAATAAAAAGAAAATTAGCAAATCAGCATCAAAACAAAGGTTAAGTTAGAGTCGCTCTTTCTGGCAACCGATAGCAACAACAAAAATATAATGATAATAATAATAATGGATGTTCTTCATGATAACCATTATCTAAAGAAATCTCCTTAATCTTTCAGCTGGAGAAAAAGGCAAATTTTTATAAAAGCTAGTAAATTTGGTTTTTGACCATTTGTAAAATTCATATGCGTGGGCATTGCATATCCATTACCTAAATGAGAGCAAACAATAAACCAAAAGTTATAGTGCAGTCTGCAGAGTTATGTCATCCAGATATTGATAAGCGGCCTGAGCTATAAGCAGCTTCTCACAAACTAGACATTCAAGACAGGATTATACGTTATGATCAATCTAAAATTGGTATCCTCAAATACCAAAATTCATATCCTCAAATACTAATACCAAGAATGCTTTAGCCTAGGCCATAAAAACAAAACAAAACAAATAAGAATGCATATAACATTGAAGCACAGAACATGCAAGACTTTAAAACACCAACATGCCTACGTACAGGCAAAATGAAAACCTAGCAACAGAACAAGGAAGGCGTCTGGTATTGCTTAACCTCTATGTTAAAGAGTAAAGACCGACAATCCCCACATAAATCTCAATCAACCAAACATTGAATGCAAGGAACCATCAGCTCATACGAAATGGAATGCAAAGTTCAATAGAAACCTGCGAGCACTGGGGAACAAGCCTCCCCCATGGAACTTTAGAACTCAATTTCGCTTGCTTCGCAGACCTCTTCTTGCCACGTCCATTAAACCCTGCACCAACCGGCACTGATTTCACCGCATCCACAGCAGCCTCACCTAACACAAAGCGTAACCGAAAATCAGCCCCCCAATAACAAATCTCCAAAAACACCGAAAAAAAAAAAGAAGAAGAAGAAAACCGATTAAAAGATCCAACCTTGAGCTCCAGGCGTCACCAAGGCATCCTCCTCGACAACAGCATCGGCACTCTTCTCAGACCCAGCCACATCAGTAACACGGGGATCAGACGATTGCGGCTCAGGCCCCCTGACATCCGACTCAGGTTCGTTGTTCGGGTTTAGGGCTTCAATCGGCGGCGCCGAAACTGAAGAATCGCTGTTGGAAAAGAACGCCGGCTCAGATGCCTACCATACCAGTCAACCGGAACCAACCAATAACAAAATTAGTGCCAGATTCAAATCTAAAACCCAAGAAAAGCAACCAAATTCCCCATCCGCATGCACAGATAAAAAGATTAATAAAGTACGTCAATTTCCAAAGGAAAGAAACGGGGACAAAAGAAAACGTAGGACCTTAGATCGCTTATGGGATGAAGGAAGCGAGGCTTGGGGCCCCGAGATGGGGCGCTTGGAGGAGGAAGAGCTCCGCCGGGTTTCGACCATCGTCTCGCTCTGCGTGAGGGTCTCTCCGGTTCTCTGATCTAAAGACGGGAAGGCTTCGTAGAGAGAATCGAGAGAAAATAAAAGAGATGAATGATTGCGGAGCGAGCAGTTACCCAAGTTCCTGTATCCTGAGGAAGTGAAAATCGGATGTTCCTAACACTTTAAAGATTTTTGCTTCACACCCTTTAAATATTGGGTTTTTCTTAACATGTGGGGTTAGGCAGATATTAAGAATATATTTTTAATATTAATTGTTATTAAAAAAAAAATTAGATATTTATTTAATTATTTAATTAATTAAAATGATATGTGCAGTATTATGAAAAAGTAAATATTAATTTTTATTATTTTTATATTAATTAATATTAAAAAATATATTAATTATAATTTAATTTGTACTTAAAAGTATAAATTAGATAAAATTTTAAATATTTTTATAAAATTTTTATTAATATTGTATGTGTTAATATTTTAAATGTGAAGATTTTTTCTTGAAATTGTTTAACATTTATTAATAAATCCTTTATTACATATTAAATGATTAAAAGGATTTTAGTTTTTCATTTTTTTATATTTAAATTATCAAGATATCTAAATTTTTCTGTCCCTAATATTATCTTAATAAATTTTCCTTTTATGCATTTTTTTATATATCAAAGAATTAATTGTTTTGGATTATAAAAATTTAAATATTTAACTTTTATCTTAAATTAAGATTTTTAAATTAATAGATACCAAATTAATTTAATTCTTATTATTTTTCTTTTTATGTTAATTCATTAAAAGTATTTTAGTTTTTTTATTATGATTTTTTTGTATATCGAAAGATTAACTGCTTGGCAATACAAATATTTAAACTTTAGATCTTAATTTCAAATTAAAAATTTTAAATTAATAAGTATAAATTCCACCAAGTTCTTGTTAGTATTATGATTTCTAACATTCAATTACAGTCAATTATGTAAATAATTCAATAGTCATCTTACTCCGCGGGAAGTAAGAGATTTTGAGTCCGAATCACGTGACATACAAATGGCGTAAAATAAGAAATGAAATATGATTACTTTCATTGTGCAACCAAGATAATAATAATAATAAAAAAAAAACTTAATCCCTATAACTATATTTATTATGTAAAAAGCCTCTTGGTTATTACCATTTAGATTATTATTTACCATAATGTTCCGAATTTTCTTAGTTCCTATGAACTTTCAATTATTGCATTATTT